CAAGGTACTTGAGCTAACTTGGCCTGTTGAAGTGGTAGGGAGTACTAAGTTATTGTCTAATCAGTAGATTACTTCCGTATGTCCGGGTGTTGATATATCAGGCCAAATTATCCCTCATTACTTATAATTAAATTACCAATATATTGAAAACCTTAAGTCTTCCTCACTCAATAACCCTCTTCTTGTGAATCTAACTCATGCCACCCTCAAATGTGAGGATGGTAAGATCAGAGAGGTTTTTCATGTATGAAGAGGTTTGGGGAGGTGGGTGGAGTCTAAAATTTACCTAGAAAAAATAAAATCATTGTATTGTATGCATGGGGAAGCTCTTTACTTGACCTGATTAGTGAACAAGTCAACCTCCATCAACGAGAAATGAATATTGTATGATTTTAATCTAGTGATGTAATGTGGGCCCTGTCGGATAGCTTGGCCCACATTTCAGTGTCGCCCACACTATAGCAGGTCGTGCTGGCCTGCGGCACACCTATTTTAGTGGGCTATATCGGCACAGCCCATGCAGGTTGGGGTGGGGCCCAGCACAAGCCTAGGCCCGTGGCCCATGGGCCCGTAATATTTCATTTTCTTTTTTCTTATGTATTCATTACAAAAAAATAAAAAATCCAAAAAATTATAAAAAATAACGAAAATTTGAAGAAAAAATGACAAATTCAATAATTGTAACAAAATTCTGAAAAAAAACCATTTTAAATTCTTATTTCATCAGAATAATCAATTTATACAATAAATATAAAATGATTAAATGAAATTGAAAAAATACTATAATAAAATGATTACATGACATGCTTGGCATGAGCCGTTCCAACACGAGCCCACATAAGCCACGGGTAGGAGTTGTGTCCTGCTTGGCATGGCCCGTCACTGTAGCTTGTGGGCTGTGCCCGTAGGCGGTCTGACCTGTTTTACACCTCTATTTTAATCTCAAAAGCTCCTCGGTCTAGGGCTGAAAATGGATCAAATCAAGTCAAACATGAGTATATTTAATGTTGATTAATATATATTGGATTTGAATTAAATTCATATTATAATTGAATATTGAGTAGTATAAATAAATTAAACTAAAAAAATATCAAAATGTTATATATTATTGATAAAATGAATTAAAATGGCTTTAATAATTAATATATATTTCACAAACAAAACTAATTAAAAATTACTTTTACAAATCGTTAAATTACAACATTCTAATAAAAAACAACATTTAAATCAACTCCATCAATATATTACAATATAAATTTTAAGTATATGTTTAATATCAAATTACATTGGATCATATAGGAGTGGATTCATATTCGATCCAATTATAAATGGATAAAATTGATATCGCTCTTGATAATATAAAATTCAAAAAACTCAAATTTGAATTCGAACAATCACATACTGTTTGCATCCCTAACTAGGTCAACTTTTTCAGTGTAGCTTCGCAAAATAATTACCAGCTCCTTGTGTTTCATATGTCTCAGTCTCGCTACCATGTCTACTATGATAAAATTATCGCGAGACTCATGAGCAAATAGCAAGGACAATCTGTTTGTCGTTGTTATCATTAGAAGGAAGCAAGTGCACAGAGATTCCCAAATCGCACGGACTAAACCATCCAAAACATCCTTTAATTTGGAATTCCAATTTCCAAGTTCAAACAATGCAAAGCAGAAGTATAGGCACATTTGAAATACATGTAGAAAAAGCTTTCTCTTTTACTTTGTAAATTTCCTCATAATTCGCACCGAGAAAATATTGAAATACATGTAGAAAAAGCTTTCTAACACCGAATTTCACAAAATAGAGGAAGATAATAAGGAAAAATGGCGATATGATCATTTTTTTTTTTGGCTCCATGCGCTATACAACCGGAATTGGATCCCAAATCTCCACTACAATCAGCTAGACAACCAATCAAAAACCATATATACCAACTTTTTTTTCTTTGAAGCGAGCGGCCCAGCGAACTTTCCAACTTGCCAATTGGCAAGTGGCACCTGTATTATTGTTATTAATTATTAAAGCAAGTGCCCAAATCTTTTGTAGGTTCCACAAATCAGGCTAATAGGGTGTATTGTGATTGGTCCCACTTCATAATTATAGTTAATTATGATAATTCAAACTAGATTATTTTAGTGTCGCATAAAACATAAATAGAGTTTTTTTTCCTATGCAGATGAAGAGGATTATGGGGTGTGATGCTAGCATTCACATTGTAATTGTCGTTGTCCTTGTTATATAGCTTACTCCACAAGGTTTGGATTAGGTTTCAGTATATATGCTGTTTTGGTTGGAATTAGTTGTGCTAGCTTGTTTGGTTTGGTTGCGATTGCTTCTCTCTGAAAATGAATGCAGAACATTTTAGATTGAAATTAACCTTTGTTTTCATAAAATTTTTAGACTGAAACATTTCAGTTGTATATTATTTCTATTCTCGTTGGCTTAGTTTGGAAGAAGTACAAATATAAATATGTAGAGTACAAAACCTTATCTTTTGTATTATTTTATATGTATTTATACAGTATATATTTATATTTCTACTCCTTTCAAACTGAGCCGTTGTAACAAAAGCCTTTCTGTTTCATAACCCATCTAATTTAATTTGTTTGATGTATAAATGGAATGAAAAAGAAACTTTTCATCATAAAAAAACAAAAATATAATTTGAATATTGAATATTTCAGTTCGGAAAATTTTGTACCGAAAAAAAGGATGCATTACAATATTGTAAGTTGTTTCTTGGTTTCTAGATTAATTTTTTGTTTTTTAACTCTTGGACATAATTAGAAGAAAAGAAAACAAAAAAACTCTTGAACGTACTTGTAATTAATTGCAGCCATACTTGGTATCTGGGTCACATTAATTTATCATAAATTGTGGAAAGATGATAATATTGGTGGGTGGCAAGGCCATCAAAATTAAGTTATAGTGTTCTACTTTTGATGTCTCCACTCCAGTCAGCACTCAGCCGACAAGAAGAAGTGAGATTCGAGAAAAGACACAGTATGCTTGATGAAATGAGGAGAAAACGGATTCCCATAGACAGCCTCCTTTGGGTTTCTTTCTTTCTTTCTAATTGGCCACGAATCTTGAAACGGAACTCTGGCCTTTCCACCCAGCCCCTCATTCTCTCTCTCCCTATGCTTATGTGGCACTTTTCAGCACAACAATGCCCCCTACGTGGTAAAAAAGCAACCCTTTCTACTTCAGAATCTCCAACATTTTAAAAGGACAGAGAGAGAGAGAGAGGGGGGGTGAGACCCGTCACCAAACCAGTCTAGACTCTAGATGGTCCACCAAAATTAATTGACAGCCCAATTTATCCCTCTCCATGTGGCATCGAAGAGAGTCCAGCGTAGGAAAAGGAAAATGCAAAACAAACAAACAAACAAGACGACTGTTTGGGTAACAGTATGAGCGATAATTATTATTTTGGCGTCACCCATGATTCCATCTGCCATCATTTAAGTACCTCAATCAACTTCACGACTATCTCATGTCCCGACCTTTAAATCCTTTTTACGCAAAGGTAAAATGATCCATTCCACCCAAATCAACTTACGGTTTCGTGGCCCAGCTCATGCATTCATCTCCTCTCCTGCACTCAGTCAGACCCAGAGGCCAGATCCCCAGTGGAATTCTTCAGCGTGTGCACCTTGGCACTGTGCTATTGGGTTATTGTTGGCATTCGCAGACGTTAGACTACAAATATATAATAAATCAATGCCCTAAAAACATCATCAGATTCCGATCCTACCGTGTAGAAGCTCCATCGGGTTAGTATCTCAGCCTCTATCACTCTGTGCAATAAAAGACCATGGAAGATGGATCATGGATGGAGAGAATGTTTCGCAGTAATATCTCGATACTTGATGCTTATTGAGGAATGGGCCCCCATACAGGAGTCTCTTACTCTCTTGGCCCAGAAATTATCCTTCGGAATTCTGATTTCATAATCGCCGGCTATCATATGACATATAAGGCGTTTCTCTCATTTTTTAAGTTTTAAGTTTTCAACTTTTCACTAACAACGTCAACATCTCTAACGTTGCTTCTGATCCCTGCCGCGACCTCTCGATGATCGAGGATTCGAGGCCAGCTTAGAAGAGTTTGGCTTTGTGAAAGGACATAGTTGCCCCTGACTACTGACAAATGTATTTTTTGGTAAATACCGATCGATGTATTTATGGCAAGGATATTGTGAACATACTTTTATCTACGTGGAACCGTTTCTCCCTCCATTTTCCAAATTGTGACTTCGTATCGCAGGATCTTGATCTGAACATCTGATCATGAAGAGCACGACGGACGATACGTATCGGAGGGCTGTGCACTCAAGTTGCATACATCCTACCCTTCTATTCTACGCCAAGGTTACATATGACATTATCCCTGTTAATCCAACGCCTCTGGTCTGTCTGTTCTAATACTGTAGGACGAGAGGTCAGAACGCTGAGCCCTGTAACATTTTTTTGTCGTTATATTATCACATCAATTGAGACTACCAATTCTACCAAAAAAAATTGAAACTACCAATATGCACTTTTATACTGTAAAGACCAGAATACCCTTGGTAAATAGTTTTAATACTCTCTCCACCCTTTATGGCCCATGCGGCCATGCCAGTGACTCAGTGAGGACTGAGCACAGTGACAGAGTCTGAGAAGCACGCAGTAGATCTAACGGTGAATTTGGTACAAGTGGTGAAAGAGAGGTAAAAATCTTTTCAAAGGTATTGGTTTTCTGGCTTATAATTTTCTGTTTTTGTTGCTCACCAGCTGGAGTTGGACGGTTGTGGAAATTTTCGTTTCCACCCCACATGCCTCATCACCCCTCCCAACAACTTTTTTAGAAGAGATTCCAAAGTCCTGCACTCTTTTTTTTTCTTCTTTCTTCAGTTGTTATTTTTTATCCTGTTTTTATTAATATTGGCCTATCTTTTTCTGAGTATTTTATTTTATGCTGTTATGCTTTTTGGTTCTATAAATCCCTCTATCTACACCCTTCAAAACCTCTTCCCTTCCCTTTTCTTCCCTATAGATCTTGGGATACTTCTCTCTTTCTCTCTCTCTCTCTTAATTTTTCCCATAGTGCTGAGGTTCTGAAGCTCTGCGGGCATAATCCTTCTGTTTCTTTCTATTTTCAGGGTGGGGTTGTGTTGCCAGTGTTTATCTTCCTGAATTGAAGGGTTGGTTTTGGTTTTCAGAACGAAAACTGAAAGCCCTTTTGCTGGTGGATCTCTGGAAGGTTTTTTTTTTGGTTTTCAGTTAGACAAGAGTCCCGTCTTTTTGGATAACAGGATCTCTATTTTCGAGGGTTTTGATTTCGCTCGCTTTGACAGCGCCTTATGCTGTTGAAGTTGGCTTTTTGGTTTCAATACCGAAAACCCTTCTGCTAAATCTTGTTGCTGCTTTATCTTTCTCGCAAAAAGCGAAGTTCTCCGTTGAGCTCCTGGTCGCTCTCCTCTTCTTACTATATTCATATCTACGCAATAAGCAGTCTCTTTTCGTTATCTTGATGCTTAATACCTTGTTCTTGATGTTTCAGATTCATGTCTCCAATTGTCAGTGAAATCCTTCTCTCGGGGTTTATGATAAATTCGTCACTGAGACGCAGGACCCACTTAGTTCAGTCGTTCTCGGTTGTGTTCCTTTACTGGTTCTATGTTTTTTCATGAACTAATTCTCATACTCTGATAATATTATCTATTATATTATCGTACGTAATAGCCTGAAATAATTAGTATCTGGGTCCTTCGTTTTTTGCTTCTAAAATCTAGTCCAATCAGAAAATCCTTTTCTTAAAACTTTTCTCGTATTACAATCTCTTTGCTGTAAATATACCATGGCTTCCTCAAGTGGGACTTCATCAGGGTCTTCCACGCTTCAGAGCTCTGGTTCTGAAGAAGACCTTCAGCAGGTAATCGATCAAAGGAAACAGAAGAGAATGCTATCGAACCGGGAATCCGCCAGGCGATCGAGGATGCGGAAACAAAAGCACTTGGATGATTTGATGGCCCAAGTTGCTCATCTCAGGAAGGAGAACAACCAGATCCTTACGAGTATCAACATCACAACTCAGCACTACCTAACAATTGAGGCCGAGAATTCAGTACTGAGGGCTCAGATGGAAGAGTTGAGTCACAGATTACAGTCTCTCAATGAGATCATTAATTGCTTAAATCCCGGCAATAATGCTTTCGAAACTGAGGATTCTCAAATCAATACTGATAGCTTCATAAACCCGTGGAATTTGATGTATCTAAATCAACCCATCATGGCTTCTGCAGACATTTTTCAGTACTGATCTTTGTGAGCTTTAAGGCACAGAGGTCTTTTCTTACCTCTCGTCGGCCTGCGTTGAAAAAGACAATGAGAGGGTGGTGCAGCGGAGGGATTTGGTTATTGGGTTCTTGGTTTGTAAATGGGATAATATAAAAACATGGATTCAGTGGCTATCGCCTATCGATTTCTGTAGTTTGCTTCTCTATTTATAATATAGTAGTAATATATTATATTATTCACTTGGAACCGTTCCATTACTGTTCATAGCTTTCATCTCTCGTCTTTATTTTTATTTTTTATTTTTTTTCAATTTTCCTTGGCCGAATAGTAATAGCCACTCAGTTTTGGTAGCTAAATTTAAATGAAATAATGAGATAAAAAAACAGAACAGATGGACTTTGTAGAAGAATTTAACTACTGAATTGTTGTTGTTTTTATTGATTAAAAATACTATCATTATTGATGGTGATGCACGTTTACGTCTCCTCGGAATTATATTGGTGGACACATTAGAAATAATTTTTCTAAAAAGTTGGGTGGTGGTGTGGTTATTTGATATTTGTTGATTTTGTTTTATTTGATCCAACTGAGGTATTTTAGTAATTGTATTTAATGGCTGAGATCTGTTGCTTTAAGGAAAAAAAAAAAAGGATGAGATCACGGTTCAGTTTTCCTTTTTATTTCACTTTTTTTTTTCCTTCAACTATGATAAGAATCAAAAAGTTCTTGCATCTGCTTATCGAAAAGAGAAGAAGAAAAAGAAGGATAAGAAAAGCGGCTTGTTAATTTTTTTTTCGCTCCATACTTCTGGTAATTCATTAAACGCATAAAGGTGAAAAGATCTAGTATGAGCCCTAAAGGCTGAAGATCACTTGGACCAGTTGTCACTTTTTTTATGCTTCCGAGATGAGAGAAATATCAAATATCCTTCCTTCCTCGTGCTCATTACCTACCCTTTGTTAGTCGATTGGATGGATAAAAATAGTTAATTTCTTTTATTAAGAGCAGAAAAAATGAAATTAAAAAAAAAACAAACAGAACCGAAATAAATAACGTATAGTTAGTATATGAATTGGATGTTAGAAAAACCTGCATGGCCGGTGGTCCCTAGTCCCTACTGTAACATGGGACGAGAGTGGGTAGAACTGATGGTTAACAATTAACATTGCTTGATCTGGCCGATCTTTGGAAGGAAACAGCACAGTGGGGTCTGCAAAGCATTCTTGGTTGCCAATTTGAAGTCATGAACAAGACAATTGGATTCTGCCAACTGCCATGACTCCTCATATCATATGTTCTCAATGGAGGAGAGGACGAGGGGTGGGTTCGGAAACCAGTTTAAACCACTAACAATCCACTGCGGTAGCACCCATGACGATCTTACAGTACATCTCACTATACATTGGGAACATGGAATGACAATATGCACTTCACTCCATGAATAACAATATACAAGTACAGAAAAATATCATGGTTTTTAAAAACAAACCGGTGATTGAATTGGTCAGCGGTTTGGTTATCGGTTCGAATGTTCTGATTATTCAATCCGAATGGTCGCCCCATTCTGACAAAAAAATTAAAAAATTAAAAAAATTAAAAAATTGGAAAAATGGTCAAAACCATTCGAACGGTTTGAACGGTTCGAACAATTAACTGCCCGGTTCAGTGGTTTATTGACCAAAATCAACGGTTTTAGGGGAAAAGGCGATTTTGGAGGAAAACGAAACTGGTCAGGTGACTGGTTCCCAATTTTTCCAGCCTGATCGTCCGGTCCGGTCCGGTTTTAAAAACAATGGAAAATATAACCAATTTAGGGCAGGGACGTGCTGTGAAGTTGGTGTGAGGAGCACTGTACGAGGAACAGATCCGAATTCTAATCAAACAGCCCTAATTCCCAAAGCTTTTCGGTGTTTCAGTCCTTTCCCTCATGGTTTTCAAAACCGGACCAGACCAAAAAAACTGGGAACCAGTCAGGTGACCAGTTTCGTTTTACCCCAAAATTGTTATTTTGCCAAAAAAACGTTGATTTGGTTAATAAATTGATGATTCAAGCGGTCAAATTGTTCAAACTGTTCAGCGATTTTAACCATTTTTTTTTAATTTCTTTTTATTTTTTATCAAAATGAGCCATCTATTTTGATTCGAACAGTTAGACCATTCAACCCAAAAACTGGACCCTTGATCAATTCATTATCCGATTCGATTTTAAAAACCTTGATTTCCCTATATACCAACTGAAGGGTGACTTAATTGGAATGCTAGCTGGTTCAATCCAACATAGATGTGAAGTGGATTCCCACAGCCTCCAACTTTAGAGGTTATCGTGGCTGAGGTTCAAAATATTGATATAGACCAATGTATTGGATGAGGTATATTGACTTGCATCGAAGCTCGCCTTCATTTTTTTTAATTTTTTTTCTCAATCTGGTTCAGGGGGCCGGTTTAGGATCCGTCTACTCCCTGAAATAAGTGAGTGAGACCCCGAAACATGATGTATAGGGACATATCGGAGGAACCCTGATATGATACATGGTGTGGCCTTATACGTTGCGAATTTGCGATATTTCAATCCTGGATCGTGGTGTGTATCACCATATACCCAATTCATAATAAATCAACAAAATTTATAGTGACCAAAATGCCCATCATTTGGTACAATTAATCTAGAACGAAAAGTAACATGGTCTAATGGTGAGGCTCATGCTTTGGATCTTTATGGAGATTGGTGCTATGCTAGTTTAAACTTTAGACTGCAACTACCCACAGCAACATTACAATCGATCGAACAAAATCATTAAAACGATTAACTTTTATATGACACTTTTGGTACGAATTAATAAAGAAATGCTTACTTAATTTGTTTTATCTTTATTTATTTCATCTTTGGTAAATATATATTCTTAGTAGCTTAAACTAATATAAACCTAATTTTTCTCCAGCTTCATGTGAAGCAAAGAGGGAACATGGCAAATGGGTTCAACATGATCATTCTGAAAATACAGCCTTGGTTGTCTCGGAGCTCTCATCAATCTGTACTTCGCCCCAATTAAACAACTATCCTAATAAATTAATTCAAGATTCTTTGTAAAAATTCAATCAACCCATTTGTCCTTTCATGCTTCACTGTCTCTTCCCTTTTTTCTCCTCAAATCTCACCCATAAATAAAGAATGCAAATTGCAAGCAGACAGAGGCTGTCACGTTTTGGTCACAGTTTATGTTAATGGTTCCGTAAGCACTAATCTAACTTTTCATTTCCTTTCCTTTTTCCTTTATTAATTTTCTTAAGAAAAGTAAAATAAAAATATTTAGTCAATGATCAAAGTTTCATTCATACATAGTATAGTAGTATACAATCAAGGATGTATATGCAAATTGCCAAGTTTGCCCTTCACATAAATCACGGAAAGGGACCCTCAGAGTACTTTGCAATTTTGCATCAGGCGCTAGATAGGGGGTATGAAATCTGAACCGCCAGATTGTTTCAGATTGTTCTAACTATTATTAATTGTGATCCTTCCGTCCTTGACATCATAGAATGGTTTAGAGATAGTACACAGTTGCCGTTTTGATCAGTCGTGCTTTAAGTAGGGGTGCATTTGAGTCGAGCTGAACCGAATACTTATTTATTTAAGTTCGACTCGTTGGAAAAGTATGACATTTGAGCCCGAACTTAAGCTCAATTCGAGTTAGAGACTTGAGTTCGAGCTCGGCTTGAGTTCGATTATAAACCAAGTTTTTTTTGAAAAATAAAAATTATATGTATAAAATTATTTGTTTAGACAAAAAATTAAGAATTATAAAAATTATTTAATATTATATATTTAACAAATAATTATAAAAATTATTTACTATTATAGATATGTATGTATGTATGTATGTATGTATGTATGTATGTATGTATGTATGTATGTATGTATGTATGTATGTATGTATGTATGTATGTATGTNATGTATGTATGTATGTATGTATGTATGTATGTATGTATGTATGTATGTATGTATGTATGTATGTATGTATGTATGTATGTATGTATGTAATAAAAGTGATTTATTTAATACTAGGCTCACGAGTGTCATGCCGAGCTTCATTGGGCTCGAGCTCGGCTCGACTAGTAAACGAGTTTATATATTAAGCTTTAATTTGGCTCGAAATTCGATTTAAACTTAGCCGAACCGAGCTCGAATAGCTCGTGAAAGGCTCAGCTCATGACCACCCCTAGCTCTGGGTCTGAGGTCACTTATTGTTGGAAAGCTATTAAAATACATGTGGGAATATATCAAAATACTGAAATATTTTAGTACTAATCAAGGGCTTACATTGTTTGAAGCTTGGCATTGGTGCTTTTGTTCCTTTTATATTAATAAAAGTCCTTTCATCACGAGATTGGCTTCAGTGTTCACAAAACCATGTTCATGATGTTCGCACGGTCTTTGTAGCCTTACATTGGGAATATATTCATACTTGTATTTTTTTTGTGGAGAGATATTCCCAATGCAAGGCTGGAAGGGATCTACGAACAATGTGACCACGGTCTTGTGAGTAATGAAGCCAATCTCCTTCATCACCTTGACATATATAAACCTTAGTATGAATAAAGGGATGAGAGAAGTAAGAGAAAAAAAGGAAGAAGAATGAAAGTAGAGAAGGTGTGATTCTTTTTTATTCATTTCCTGGCGATTGCATGGAGAAAGAGAGAAGAAAAGTGTTAAAGGGTGACAAAAGAGTGGGTAAATTTAGGTGCATTCACAAGTAATTCTTTAGCAATGGCATAAAAAAGTAATTCTTAATTAATTAGTAGAATTAAATCACCACCTAAGCAGGAGAGGATGTTGAAATCACTTCTCATGCGTTTCCATGTTTGGACTTTGGATTTGATTTCATGTTAGAGGAAATGAGATATATAGAATTATGTGGCGTTTGATAACATTTTTCAAACATTTGAAGTTTGAAAATGTTGCTTTTCAAACATCACCTGTGTTTGGATTTGAATTTAAAAAAAGATATGAAATGCATTTTTAGATCTGGAACCATAAGACCCAGGCCAGGCATTAAACGCGGTCAAATGCATTTCAGACCTGGCCAAAAGTCTAAAATATCGTCAATTTTTTAATAATGACATATTATACCCCTATTTAAACATGATAGAAGCCCATTCTATTTGTGGTCATCGAACGAAAAGGGAGATGGTGATGGAGAACTTGAAGAAATCCTATAGTCGCCAGTGATAGAGAACTTGTCGAAAAGAAAACCATCTTCAAATT